CTACCACAAGCTTATGTGTTAACTACCCTCCTTAGAGTTTCACAACATGAGGACAAGTTCTTCAATAGGTCTTAAGAGAGATAAAAAACAACTAGTTACTTGGGAAATTTGACGGGAAGCAAACACTTCTTATAGCAGCTGCAGACAGCGACATAATATAAGAGGCAGGAAGAGTTATTGATTATTGACCGTGTCTTTTTTTTTTATCAGGTAAAATTTTCATTAATCACAAGGCCAAAAGAAGGTTCATATACAAGAGGTATACCAAACAGTAAAGGACCTACACAAAGATATTGTTTTCTATAAAAGACACTCAATCCTCAATACAACCCGGAACTACACGGGTGCACCAAAAATAAATAAGGGATCGGAGACTACTCCTCAACTGCCAAAAACTCAATTCTGTGAACATACAACACAGTTATATAACTCTAAAATTCCAAAGAATTTTGAACATAGGAACTAAAGTGCCCATGCTTAAGACAAGAACAGAGGATTTGCACATAATGACAATAACCAAACTAAATTACAGACTCAACACACGATGTATACTAAAAATAAATTCCAGCAACGTAGTGTAACTAGAAAAGAGGTGGTACACTTGATTCCTTCATAACAGTAATTATCAAACCTCACCAAACAGAAAGAATAGCAAATTCGAGTATGTTATAAATCAGGGAAACATACTTGTGTGAAGGAAGAGTGAATTCCAGCCCAATCCCAAAGCCACGTCCAGACGCACCACCTCCCCAGCCGGACATACCATAGGCACCTTTCATTCCTGGTGGTCTCCAATCACCTCTACCACGTCCAGCAACAGGGCCTGCATTGACAGGGGGGCGGACTTGACCAGGTATTCCTCCAGGACCCGACGGGGGAACTCCAGGCATAAGAGTTGCACCAGGCCTCACATACTACATGATACAAGAAAAACAGATAAGAGATTCATGTCAGCTGTCAAAATAATGTAACAGGGACAACTATCAAGACAGAATGGCAAAAAGAAAAAGAATCCAGAACAGAAATATATAGAAAATCTTTTTTAAAACAGTAAAAGTAAAAAATATATAGTAAATCTTCCAATCATCTGACAAGAAACAGACAACAAAATTGGGCAGCAGTTCTGAAGGATTTTCATCAAATAAGCAAGCTAAGAGTAAAAATGTGGCCAAAGAACAGTTCAAATGTGTTAAGTATGTCACCAGATAAGCACGTAAGACATTGCTTTCACAGATTCAGCAAGCAATGTGAGAAATCTGGACTAAAATCTTCACTTTTATTAAGATGTCTGAAAATAGGACTTGCATATGCTACTTAATCGTGTAAGTTTCATGCAACCGAAATAAAACAGTTATCAGTGTTACAAATTCTTATATATCTTTTCTTTTCTTTATATTTGACCAAATACTAATTGAATGTTGTACTTCATCACTCAGCATTAGAAAACGGATCTTTCTTTCAGTATATATCATTATCAGTTTAAGCAACCAAATTGACTTGAATAGGCTTCATTCGTTAATGACCTACTCGCACAGGTCCAGCCCGTCTGGAAATGAAGGTGCTGATTAGAGACAAAAACGTAGTTAAACTGAAAAGAGATCAAAAGTCAGGAATGGTCCACCAACAAACTAATGTCCGTAAGTTTTTCTGAGATTTTTCATTTACATTCTCAAGAGCTAGTTACCCAATTGTTCAAAAAAATAGCTTTTATCTATTTAAAAAAGGTGTTAACAACAGCCAGTTAATTTGAAGTGCTTTTAGATGAGTAATGTTAGACGATTAACTGCGACAGCAGCATCCAATGTATAACGTGGCAATAAACGTGTGAACCAACATGCAATCACATAGGATTTTGAATAGTTAGAGTTCATCACATGTGTCCCACATTTTCCCATAAAAGGAGATTTTCAATTGTACGTTTGGATATCCCAAAGAGAGTTCAATTTGTGGATGAGTACTGTTAGCCTTTGCGGATGCCTGGTATTGGAACATTCCAAACATCCTCTACCTATAAATTAAAGCATGACCATGCTATAGACTGACCAAACAGGAATTATTTCCAGCAAAATTATGAAATAAATTTTATTAATAATATTATCATCAGTACAATTCTTTATACAGCTTGTGCATACAATGAGAGCCATCGGCCTAAACATCACCAATGACCACAAAACCATATGAAAATTACAAGTCAGCTTACATTGCATGTTCTGATCAAACAATATGGGAAGAACACAAACCCCCAGATGTACAACGTCACTGACCTTATACTGGGAATGATACGGATGATTGTATGCATGATTGGGGTACCCAACCTTTCCTGCTACTCCAGGTGCTCCATTCACTTTTAGTGCATCGGTTATCTCCTTTCTCTCTCCATTAGCGGCAGGACCCCCCTCTTCACCCCAATCTTGCTCCTCCATCATTGGTGGATGGCTTGGGCCATCATTATCAGCAACAATAACCAAAGGATCTTCATCTTCATCGTCCTCTTCACCAATACCCATTCTCTCCATACCCATTGGTCCATGAGTGTTGTCATTTAACACAATCTGCAAATCATCCTCACTATCACTATCCCAATCATCCTCAACATTTCCTTCTCCAGTATTCCCCGCCCCACCTGAAACACCCGGAATCTCCAGCCCAGGGATCAACTGCTCGGCACCAGAAGCTTCAATCACGAAATTCCCTACATTTCCAGTCCCGTCCTTCAGATTCTCAGGGTCTTCACCTACATTTTGATGATTCCCCATCAAAATATCATCTTTATCATCCGTCTCTTCCACTACAATATCAATATTAGCTTCATCCATAAAATTTAAATCTTGAAACTCCGTTTTAGGCAATTTCACATCCTCACTCTTCACCAAAACCCTAGCTATCGAATCTGATTCATTAATTCCACCCAAACCCTCGATTCTTCCAGCTCCAAGTTTTAAATTCAGATTGGATTCGGGTAACCTCGACCCGGATTTAACATCTAGAGGAGAAGCTAGGGTTTTTTCCTGACCAGTAATAGAACTCGGCCCAGCAAAATTCGGTTTCGAATTCGAATTCGGTGCTCCGTATAAAATCTCCTCATCATCGCTGTTGATGTTCAGATCGATCGGCCGGCTCGTAGCCCCGGCGGCTTTGGGGGCAGCTTCTTCTTGCGCTGCCGGCGGCTGCTGAGACTGAAACGACGCCGTTAAGGGGCGGAGCACATCGGTGTAGAGATCTCCGAATTCATCGTCGTCCTCCATTATCGGTTAGAGAGAGAGCTGCGAGTACTTCCAGAGAGAAACGCAAGAAAGAGAGGGTTTTGAGGGCTTCTAAGAAGGGTATAAATTTGTACTCTTCAAATCTGGTTTTGAGGGTCTCTTAAGAAAAAAGGGTACAAATTTTGCTAATGACACTATTAGGGAAGATTTCCAATTTTTGAGCTTAGTAAAATGTGAAAAAAGTAATACTAGTAGGTAGGTAAAGTAACAAAAAAATGATTTTTGAGAATATAATGATATATTTGATTTATAATTATTCGTATTTGATACGGTTTAGAATGAATGAAAAGTGAGGTTGTTACTTGTCACATGTTATGTGTAGTTCAGAGTAGGATCGATCTTTATCATGTAATAACATACAATATGATTTTGGAGTTCATGTGATAATATACAATTTTAAAATTGTATTTTATGTTCAATATTTGTATTAAAACTTCGATCAATTTAAATTTGCGTATATTAAAGGTTGACTAATTAATTTGAATTTACACATCATAATGTAAAACACAATTAAGAGAGAATGCTGCAAAACAGTTTTTTTTCATAGGTAGAATTCCAACACGAAGCTCCTAATTAAGGATAGAGAAATTTTATTCAACCCACTATAATTCTTAATTATTGGTTACATTATATTTAACCAAATTGAATTTTACTCTTTATTTTTTAAATTTTTTTACATTACCTTAACGTAACATTAGTGTAAAAAGGATTTTAAGAATGTGAAAATTACATAATTAAGCAAATATGTGATATGTATTTACAATACAACACTATAGTTTGAAACAATTACAATTTGTGGTCATAGTAATTAGGGTTTTGTTCTTGTTTTCTCTCTTCCTATCTCCCTCTCTCATCTCTCTTTGCATTCTCGCTCGCCTCTCTTCGCGATCGAGAATGATAACAATCAATTACATAAATACAAATGATAACAATCAACTAAATAGATACAAATGATAAGTGTCAACTATACATATACACTTCAGTGATACAAAATAAAAAATACACATGTATTCATTGATACAATATTGATACAAATATTAACAATGTTGAACTTGATACAACACTGATACAATTTATTCTATGATACAATTTATTGATACAAATTGTTTTCAAAAAATACAATTGTATTCATTTATACATATATACAAATACAATCATTGATACATATATGTGCTAGTTATATATATATATATATATATATATATATATATATATATATATATATATATATATATATATATATATATATATATATATATATATATATATATATATATATATATATATATATATATATATATATATATATATATATATATATATATATATATATATATATATATATATATATATATATATATATATATATATATATATATATATATATATATATATATATATATATCCACCTCTCTTCTCCATTTTCCAATCTCGTATGTCTACGAATCGTAATTAAGCAAAATTATGACTACTTTATCTCATTATATATTTAATCTTTGCCATTTTTGTTTGCTACACTCCTTAACAAGCCCAACAAAAGTATATATATTTAAGATGACTTGATAAAATTGAAAACAAATGGAAAAGAGAAATTAATAAATGAGGCAAATTAAATCATATATATAAAAAGAACGTTTACATACCAAACCAATACAATTAGATTAATATGTGAAACCAAAGTACATAACATTCATAAATATTACAAGTCAATACTATAATCCTCAGCTCCACGTACATTCAAGATTCAAATTTGCATGTGCCATAACCTAGAAAAAAAAACACACACACACAACGTCATTAGAAAGATCATATATACAACAGATAATTTTATTTTTGTATCATACAGAACATTTTATGAAAATTTAGATAATACATTATTGTAAAACCTTACTTGGATCGGAGGCGGCAACTACACCAGTACCGGCAAAGTCACAGTTGAAGTTGTTGCGGCCTTCCCTTTGGTAGTAAGAGTTCATGGCGAAGGCCGCATGAGACCGAATAGTGTTGGGTTTAAAGCACGAACCACCCACTTGAATTGGTGTGCAGTCAACTCCTTGACTGCACACATAGTTAATGTTGGATTGTAGTTGTGCATCAGTTGCCCCAACCTTTGGCATGCAGAATTTTTTGTTCTCTGCTGGTGTTTTTGGTTGCCCTTTGTTGCCTCCGCCACCGGTTTTTGGTGGGGGCAATGAAGGTGTTGGGTGAGCCTGTAAGTATCAAAATTATAAAACTTGATGTTAGGTAAATGATTAGAGGTGACAAATGAATGAATTAAACTGCATTTAAACAAGTCATAATGACACTCTAGTAAGAGGCAAGGTGGTTCAATTGAATCCTTGTATATACAATGTAACAAAAGTAATATTTTTCAGAAAAAATTATATATATAAGTTCTTGAATCTCTTATAACGAAAGTGAAAAATCTTACTAGAGATCAATAGTAGCTTCAGTCAGCGCATAGTGAATAAAAAATATGTTCATCTTATAGATCTCAAGAAAAATGTCTATCAATTGATCCCTATGGTCAAAGTCTCCACTCTCCACTTAAGTTACAAGTTCAAATTCCAATAATAATGAATATTTTTATATGAATTTATGGCGCGATCACTAATCCTAACATAATTATCACTTGAAATTTACTTGAACTAAAATAAATCAAATAATGTATCATAACCAACCCATCATATATTCTCTATGCAACCTACTGATTTAGGGGTTGCAAAAATTCCTAAGGTTGTGTGTTCAAGCCTTGGTGGCACCACAACCGTTAACACCTCTTCATGAAAATTCTAAATCCATCACTTTTGAATACAACCTTCTATCTTTAAATTAGTGGGACCAGAAAGGAAAAAGCAATACATTAAAAAGAAGGGAGAATAAAGTAAAAAAACAAAAACAAAGAAGACAAGATTCAAATTTAAAGATAGAAAAAAGATGATGCTCATGAAATCTATTTCTTTTTCATTTTGTAAATACTACATCACATGTTTCATTAAGTAGCCGTTGGACATGTTAAACTTTTTTGGTTCACTTAAAAATGACAATTATTTAATGCAAGAGAATCCAATGAAGAAATTTTATTTTATTAATCTATTACGTAACATGTGGTGGCCACTAGAACAGGTGTCAACTTTTTCCTTTTCGACCATGCCATATGTATTAATTCGATTAATTGTGATAATAATGATTTCGAGGTCCATTTTTTCTAAAAGCGTGTACGTCTACTTAGTATGAGTTAATATTATCATCAAATTAAAACACTTAGATTGAAACGATCTAAGTACCCAAACGCGCTTCACATAGATGGAAACATATTCCCATCTATCTAGGTTCTAGAGTGGGAAAATGCAATACAACTAGCTGTACTCAACTGGGAAAAAAAGATTCTTCAAACCAAAAGACAAAAGGAAATTATTTAGAAAAAGCTTCTTGTAATTATTATTATAGCAGTACGATTATAATCATAATAATTTCAATTAAGAAAATGACTTAAATACCCCTCCTTGCTTTTATCAAATTAACTACATCAACTTTGTTATGCAATTACACACTATATTACTAGCAAAATTACTACTCATATACACAAAAATAATAGTAATAGTATTAATTTTTTGAAATTACCTGTTTAGCTTTCAAAACTCCGACATCATAAACCGGAGTGAAATCGGGTCGGAACAACCCGAAATTCCTCTCAGCGATCGACCCAGGTTTGGTATTCTCATTGAACAATGAAAAAATGTACGTCTCGATCTTCCTGTGCGGCATCAATGGCGTACCCATCCCGGAATTATACTTCTTCATCAATCCACCATTATACGAAGCTGCATTTTCCACAGTACACTGCGGTTCATACGTTTCTCCTTGCGAAGGCCACCCTGTCTCCGCAGCAACAATCTCCACATCTGGGTATTTCAATCTCACCATCGACATATACACCGCATCCAACAACATATCGAACGAATTCATGTACCATTTCTTCGAAAATCGATCGTAAACCCCTTTATTCTTTCTAAATAGAAGAAAATCCTCTTGCTTCTTGTTGTATCCGAAGTAGGGATAAGGGTTTACCATGAAAGGACCTTTTGTTTCATGAAGAAATTGTAGCATCGGAGCTAGAATACCCACATCCCAACCGGGTCGAAACCGGGCTGCGCTGGGTGGGTTCGAACGGAGAAGAATACCCAATGAATGAGCTGAAGAGACTTTTATACCCTTCAACCCAGATAAACCCAAAGCTTGGTAAAAAACTTTCATAGCTGGAACAAGCTTGTTCTGTACCTCAGGTGTATCCCAATGAAGAACCTCATTACCTACTAGAACAACGTCGATCTTTGTCTGTGGATAATGAGGTTTAATATTCTGCTCGACGTATCGTCGAGCATAGGCGAGATCCAGAAGATTCGGGATCTCGCCATTTGGGACTGTGACAGTAAGTGAGATTCCCGTGTTTGCAAAAGCACGGAGGATGTCTGGGTTGATGTCGAAAATCTTTACACGGTCTATGACCGTTTTATCCTTGATAAACTGAGCTACTTGAGCTGGCGGAGGGAGGTTGTTTCCGAGAGTCCCGTAGTTAACACCTATAGAAGTTACATCATGAAGAAAAAGAGCAATAACAAAGAAGAATAGGATAAAAGAAGTTTTGCTTGATATGTTGTTCATGGTTGATGTGAAAATGGTTGATGTGGAGATAGATGATTTATTTATATGAGAAGAATAGTAAAAGAAGTCCAATTTGAAATTTGGACTATTTTGACCAAAAGGAAAGAGAATGGAGATTTCTAGATTTTTTGTGAGTATTTGATACATATGTTAAAAGGGAGGAATATAATATAGTATAATATAAACGTGTCGTGGCAACAAAGGTTAAAATGATACCATAATTATTCCAAGACTATGTTGATAACGCGTATGTTGCGCAACATCATTGAAAATGAATATGTCCGAAATGTGACAATGGGCATTTTTAGGAGTGTGGTCAGAGGCGTATCTAGAGGGGGTGACGTGGGTTCACGTGAACCCATGCTCCCCTCTCTAGATCATATATAGTAGTGTTATATTTTTTAAAAAAATATTTAAATATAGATGTGTGAATCCATGTTCAAAGTATCATATAATAATACGATAATGATTAGGTGCACCTTTCTAACTGAGGATAGAAATTTAAATCTTATATCTATCTTGTCTTTTTGAGTAACACCACTCCAAGTGGTTATCGGTGACACTTTTGACGTTTCAACTAATTTTTCTTTTGTATTTTTTCCTTTAATCTTTCAAAATTTTCAAGTGTCTTACATTGAAAATTCCTAAAAAATTAAGCACTGTAAATTTTTTATATAATTAAATCAATTGTGTATATTAAAATTTAAAACTAATAGTATTATATATTTTGAATCTATAGTTTTTAAAATTTAATGGTTCATTTTAGAACCTAAAAGTCAAATGATCAAATTTATATTTAAGATACATTTCTTCGTAATCGTGCACCCATTTAACCGAAATCCTGGATACGCGTCTGAGTGTGGTTGAATTTGGTAAAATAGATATTTAAAAATAATTTTTCAAAATCTGTTGGGAAAAAGTTGGCTTAAATACTGACAGTTATCATGATTCAAATTAATTATCTATACTCTCTCATGCACGAGTAATACAATAATATGCTATTTGATATAATTTCACAAGTGGCATATAGAGAGAATAATATGTACGCAACTTCATTCTTATCTTGTAAAATAGAAATAAAAAAGAATAAAATATTATGCATTATTGAAAATAATTTTAAATATATTCCTTTCGTTATACTCTAGATTCAAATATAGCTCTCTCATTATACTTTGATACAAAACGGCATTGTTGGTTAATTTCGAGGTAATGCAAGTTTTAAATCTCCACATGCTATTAACATTAGTCTAGATCCTTTAGACATTTGAAAAGAGAAAGGACAATTTCGTACCCAAGTATAATGATAATAACACCAGAGAGGTAATTGCACAAGGCAAACACAATGCGACGAACTCAACCTAGAAGAAGATCATCTTTCTTTTACTGGCAAAGGGTTTCGAACTTGAGACCTCTAACTGGGCCAAAAGGGTAAGGAGTATATTTAGAGAGGAGTATGTTTGGATTGAAAGTATAATGAATGGTATATTTAAATTATTTTCAATAGTACTAGAGTATATTTAACCCTTTTCTGAAATAGATATTAGATCTTCAACTCAAAACAATCTCATGCATTAATAATATAAAAATCAATTCTATTCAAGGTATACAAGTCAAAACCATCAAATATACAAAATGAATGTAGAGGCAGACTTTCTTTGTAGTATTAGGCTATTAGCTGGATGATGTTAAATGAAAACCTGCATTCATTACAAGAGAATTTACCTATTTGAGATGGTAACCATCGAAAACAACCTCCCTATCCCACGAAGGTAGAGGTAATGTCTACGTACACCTCACCCTCCCAACCATCACTTGTGGGACTATACTAGGTATGTTATTGTTGTTGAGACAATCATCAACAGTTAACGATGATTCTATGACCAGTTAGTCGAGTGATTCGGTAGGTGCAAATCATATCATGACTGGGTAAACACAACCCTTACTACAAGCAAATCGAGCCACACTGGAACGAACCAAGATAAAGAGGCACAACAACATAGCGACATACAAGAAGACCATGAAACCACCAGAAAGCAATACATACAGAAACCAACAAGAAACTCTCATATACAACTACATAAACCTTGTTGAGAATAAGCCAAAGGAATTATCAAATGAAATAAAGGTAAAATAAGGGCAAATAACAACCAGGAAGCAAGAAGAAATTCTTTATTAGAGAAGAGCTTATTGACAGAAGATAATCTGCCCATGCGTGCTACGATAAAATAAAGGTTCTCGTTTGAAAACTACACTGCATCAAACAAAGCCTCGATAGCTAATCGATCACTAAAGCCCCCATGAGGATTGGGCATTATATCAACTAAATGAGAATGTCATGTTTCAGGAAAACCAGTGCAACACGTTAAAATAAGGCGTGTAACGATCTGGGAAGAAGCCAACCACCTTCAAGACGGTCATCACATTATCTTAAAGCTGAATGAGCGGTATCAGAATGACAACAACTACTAGAAGTACAAATTATTTATAAGAAATCAACGGAAAATGGGCATACGCGAGTGAACAAAAGCTGGCATAGTGTTTCAAGCAAACTCTGGAAAGCAATATCAAATGTACAATAACAATGTATATTATACATATAAAGTACCGACTGAATCATATGGCAAGAGGCAACATCTACGACTCAGTGGTCTAGCATGTAACTATCTTTCGCGAAACAACATTTTAAGACAATAAAACCAGTTCAAGACACTAGCAGATCACCTCAACAAAAACAGCTATCAGTTTCTTCCAAGGGGCAAAGATCTGCAAGAGTAAGTCTCCTTGAAGTCGGACTTTCTTGATGAAGTGAAAATGGAGGCATACACTTCCTTTGTAGCATGAGCTGGAGCTACATCAACAGCCTTAAACCTCTTCCCTGACCCGTTGCTCGCACTATTCTTCACATCCTTAACTTCAATCTTACTTTTAATGCTAATTTTACCATTCCCTTCCACTTTCCTCGCATCCTTGCCTACTAGCTTATCCTCAATCCCATGTTTCATCCCGCTCAAGCGTGGTGCCCCAATGACCTCTTCACCATTCACAGCTACATCCTCATTCCTCCCCTTCTTCACCTTCTTACTATCCTTCAATTTCACCCTTTCTTCCTCCATTATCTCCCTCAAAGCCGCAACCTCTTCTTCACTCCCGTTAATCACAATTTTGTCACTCTCCACAATCTCCTTGTGGCAAACCAAACAAGCTGAGGATTTCACTTCCTTCAAAGCTTTTGCACTCAAAACATGTCCACAACCCCTCAAAGCAAAGAACTTGTACTTCCCATTGAACTCCAACCCCGTTACCGGGCACTGAAACCCAGTCCCTTCACCATCACCAAGCCCTCTATCCTCTTTCCCCGGAATCACTGACAGCTCAACCGGAATCATATCTTTCAACCCCTTTATATAACCAAACTGCTTAGGCACCCTTTTCTTCAATAAAGCCTCAACCAAAGCCTCCTTATTGAACAAATTCCCAAGTTTATCGATAACAACCGGATGCTTTAAAGACTCGTTCGACAAAGCACAATTCAACCATCTAGACAACCTAATCTCATTTGGGTCAATTTTATCCGGCTTCTTAACAGCATACATCTTAAGATAACAGTCTCGCGACTCCGCTCCCGTGGCACCTCCATCACCACCACCACCGCGAAGGCGAAAACGTAGTACCAAAGTGGAAAACGGGCTAATCCCAGAACCACACAATAGAGTTGAATCCTTAATGGGTCGACCATCAAAGGTAAAATAGACAGAATCCTTAATTGCAGCTAATGATTTCTGGGTTTTATCAAAAAAACATGATTTGAGGTCTTGCAAAGTGAAATTAGGATTAGGGTTTTCGAGATTTAGGACATGGGTGGGGATCTGAAGTTCTGGTGATTGTATGAAAACTGGGAAATTGCGGATTTGGGGTTCCATTATTAGGGTTTATGAATTGAAATTGAAGAGAATTTAAGAAAAATTACCTGAATTGAGGAGGAATCGAAGTGCTCTGGTTCTCGAAAGGGGGAAAAAGATTGCAACTTTATCGTATTCTTGATGTTTATACTTTTGTCTTCGAATTTTGTTTGACCCGTTTGGTTTTATATTTGGGCCGACTCATAATCCTTATAGGTTTCTAAGCCCATATCTAGAGGAGGTGTCATGGTCTTTTCTTTTTGAGTTCGATATACCGCTCTACATAAGTCAAACCAAATATGGAGAGAGAAAAGTGAGATTATTATCCGATCTTTATCGTTAGATCACCAATTTGCATTTCCTAATGTTTCATCTGATCCCTAATTTATCGGCATCAATATTTTCGATTGCTCAAGATGGTACCGGGTACAAAAGTCGTTATCGCTGAGACATGGGGTGAAGTTAACAATAGACTGGAAATTTGGAGATAGACCTTATAATCTAAAGGTTTCAAGTTAAGCATGAGTAAAATAGAGTACTTAGAGTGCAAGTTCGGTGATGAAACACGTAAAGCGGAGATGGAAGTATGGAGATGAATGCACAACTCATATCCAAGAGAGGTAGTTTTAAGTATTTTGGGTCGATAATCCAAGAAAATTGGGAGATTGAAAATGATATTGCACGTTGTATTGAAGTAGAATTAGGGTAAGTTAAATTGAGGCTGCATCCAAGATACTTTGTGATAAAAATATATCATCAAGACTTAAAGATAAATATATAGCTATACTCATTTAAATTTTTCTATTCTATTATTATTATTATATTAAAATAAATAAGATAATTGTTAGATATAAATATCATATTTGATTATTTTCTAAATGAAAACGAAAACTTGAGTCGTAAGATAATAAAAAATATAGTCTTTTACGGTTAAAAGCTTAATAAAAACTACAAATAAAATAGTGTCTCTCAAGGAAATACTTCCTCCGTCCAACAATAGTCGTTCACTATACTATTTTGAGATGTCCAACAATACTTGTCCACTTTATGAAATCAATGGACAATTTTACACTTAGCTCCTAATTTATCTTTATAATTAAT